CAGGCTATGCCCTCCCTCGGCAGTGCTTCGAGCAATGGATGCGGCGTTGGCTGGAGTTCCCCAGGATCCGAGCTCCCATAGCTCGGGTATGGCAGGATGCAGTTCAGCAGTTTAAGGACCTTGAGCCACAGCATCGGTGGAGACATGTGCGAGGACTTCTCACGGCGGTGATTGATTACCTGACCAACGCTGGGTGGGACTTACCGCAAGAGGCGCTGTGGTTTCCGCCGAGCAGTGGAGGGGAATATGAAGATGGATGGAGTTTCGCGACGGCGGAGTTTCAGGCTTCTGGTCAAGCCAGGGACCTTATCGATAGGTTCGCTCAGTCGTTGCAGGATCGCTTGTGGAGGGAAGCTGCTGCCAAATCATATTGCGGGAGTGGCATGGAGAACGGCATCGACAATTTCAGTTTACGGAGATATCTTCTGCAACTGGAGCGTCTCCCTGGGCACGGCCGTCAGCTCAGCGAGTTGATGATGACGATCGCCGTCGGTGGAGATTGGACAGATGATAGGAAAAAAGGTGTAGGTATTCAGGCCCCTGGGTTGTGTAGAAGATGTGACAAGGCTCTGGAGACCCCGCTCCATCGTGTGTGGGAGTGTGAGTGCAATCGCGATTCGCCCGTCTTCGCAGCCTCTGATCGTTTTGTGCCCCAAGCCTTATCCCAAGCTAGCAGCTGCGAGTGTTGTTGGCTTAGGGGCCTCATTCCCAAGGATATGGTAGTGCTCGACCCCCCTCCAACGATGCGTGTTGGGTCCATCGCCACCCTAACGATGCTGATGTTGAGCCGTTTTTTGGGGTTGGCTCCGCCCTCCAGCCTCTCCTCCTTTTCGGGGACGCGTCGGGGGGTAGGGACACCCACGACCCGAGGCTGCGTAGGGTAGGGCTCGCCGTGCCCACTAGTCCCGAACAGCCATGTCCGTCTGATATACGGTTTGGTTATGGCCCGCTGCCTGGTCGGCACCAGTCCGTCCCCAGGGGTGAGTTATTTTGTTTAATCACAGCCGTGGCCCAGTCCAGGGGACCGATGGCGTTTGTGACCGACAACGAGGAAGTTTGTCGGGGTTTTTGGACTAATCTTTTCACGGCCCCGAAGGGGCCGAATGCCGATTTGTGGAGACGCCTTGGGGAGGTCATTCAGTCGACGGATCGTCATCCTGGTGACCTTGCTGTTTTACAGGTCCCGTCCCACTTAGAGGCGCAGGAAGTAGTTGAGCGTAACCTGTCGGGGCCTCTCATTGCAGGGAATTGATTTGTGGATCATTTAGCTGGTACGGCGGCCAAGATTTTCGGGGTCTCGAGTGCTCAGCGCTCACGCTTGCTCCAGGTCGAGGCCGATGCCCATTTGATCAGGGAACGTCTTCTTAGAACCACGCTTGAGGTTATCAGGGTTGAGGGGAAAAAACAACGGCGCCCTGCTGCTGCTGCTGATGTTGCTCCCCCCCCCGCCTCCTGTGGCCGTGGCCCTGTTCAGATCCCAGCATATCGTTCGTGAGTGCGGGAAAAAGTGCTCGAGGTGCCGAAGCTCTGCCACAGAAGCTGGGAGAGCGAAGTGGTTAGCCACCGAATGGTTTGAGCTGCTGCACGTTTCGAGTTCGCTTTCCAAATTGCCTCTGGGTCGTAATTTCTATCTCGCTGGGGGTGTGGTCCACAATTCCCATATTATGTCATATAATAATGTTCCCGACCTGTGGCTTTGTCAAGCTTGGGGCTGTTATGGCCATCAACAATTACGTGGTCTGTCGAACCTATGCCCTGCTAGGATGGTCCCTCCCGTCCCGATCACCAAGTCTCGGAAGGAGTATTTGGACCGTACTTCACGGAACCTCTGGCCCAAAGTACTCCGCAAGGCTGAGAAGATGGCTCGGGGGACTTGACGGGGTTCGAGCGGCGGGGGCCCCCTAAGTGGGTGTGTGTGTGTGTCAGCGGCGAGCGGCGCGCGCGTGCGCCCGCGGCTGCCGCCGACGTGGTGGTCTAGCAGGATCGCCGCACCGCCCCCCCGCCGCTTGCCCTCTCTCTTTTTCTTCGACTCGCTTCGCGATCGGTCTCATCTCATCTCATCTCCCCTCCCTCCTCCCTCCTCCTTCTCCTCCTCCTCCTCCTGTTCCTGCTCCTCCTCGTCCTCCTCCTCCTCCTCCTCCTCCTCCTCCACCTCCTCCTCCTCCTCCTCCTCCTCCTCCCCTGCCTCCACCCTTCTTGCTCCTCCTGCACATAAGAAGTGCATTGAAGAAGGGAACGATGGAGGCAGAGAGCAGGGTACAGGGTTGAAAGCGTATGTTTGTGGGCGTTCCGGCCGCAGCCCAATCAGTTCCCCAGGGGGTCACGGCCAAGGGGTCGCCCCCCTCTTCCTCAGAAAAAGGTGGGGACCGAGTGGGAAGACCACCCAGGACGCCCCCACTGGGGAAACCAAAAGATACCGATACCGCTGCTCCCCGGACCTCGCCCAGGGTACGTTCTGACCAGAACTTCGAGGCGAATCCAGCAGTGGCGACGAGGACCTCCCAGGAGGTCGACAAAGAGGCAAACGGACGGGGGAAGGGTAGCGGTATGGGTACCTCTTCCTCCTTTGACCCACGCCTCCCAGACCAACTAGAAAACAACCCACACATGTGCACAAAAGCATCCTCGATCCTCGATCCTCGCCCCTCGATCCTCAAGAGGGGGGCGGCGACCCCCCTGAGCGGCAACCTCCCGTGGCGCGGCCCCGCCGCGTGGGGCCCTGAACCGCTCAAGCGGGGTTACCTCCAGAGGCCCCAGGCAAGGTGAGCTGCAACGCGCGCGCGCTGCTTTGCAGCGCGCTGCTGAGCGACAGCGAAACGGCAACACAACCAGTGGGAACACGCAGAACGCGCCGAGAGCGCGCTTCTCAGCAAACCGATACGACAACACCGAGCGCAGAGCGAACACGAATCGCAGGCCGAGCAGCACGCCCCCGCTCCGTGGAGCCTAAAACCAAATGACAAAACGCAGCGCTGACAAAGACGTGAACCCCAGCGGCGCGTGAACGCGATAAACAACCCACGCCTGGCACCAAACAAAACATATGGCTCCCCAATCATCGCAACAGGACCGGCCGCAGACAGCATGCAACGCTGTGCCGTCGCCTGTGCCGAGGAAGCAAGCTCAGGACATCCCTCGCCAGGCCCCTGGGTGAAATTTCTGCGGCTGGGGAAAATCACGAGCTTGTGTTAGGTCAGTCATGTCCTCCTACAGGCGGGCTTCGAAAGAAAAAAGAAGCATATGCAACACATGCTTGCTCTATGATCACAAGGGCACGAACAATCGTCGCCTTCCTGTGTTCCGACTGATCCTGGAGACTCTTCCCTTAGAGGGAGATGCCAGACTGAAAGCTTGTGATAGGAAACCGTGAGGTGGCCTGGAAGGCCAGGAGGTCGGGGGAGGGACAACCGCCGGGGGGCGGGAGACGAAAGGCCGGGGGGGCCCGCGGGCGGAACACCCAGGGGGCGGCGCGCGCGAGAGGAGAACGAGGCGCAGCACGAAGCGGAGACGAAGGGCAGGACGACAGGGGGGGGAGGGGAGAAGGGGGAGGAGGGCAAGGAGGAAGAAGAAGAAGAAGAACAGACCCGAAGGGGAGTGCACAGCACTAAAATGGAATAAAGCAGGGCTAAATTCCAAAAACTGGGGGGGTGGACCGAACCCCAGGAAAACGAACAAAAAAAAACTTAGCTACGGGACCTGGCCGCTGCGGCCTGTTCCCTGAGAAGAATCCTCTCACACAAGGCTGACATACGCTGCTCGTCGAGGAGGAAACATACAGTACTCACGGCAACAAGGAGCACGACGCGGAGGGCGAGGGCGGGACAACGAGGGGGACGGGAGAGGGGGCAGGGGGACAAGTCAGGTGCTCCCATCCCTTCCCGTTGCGATGGCTTTTTCACCATCCGCGGACGCGTGTCATAGCCAACCTGGCAATCCACAAAAAAACTCCATCGTGCCATGCGAAATCGGAGAAGGGAAACTTGTGCGACCTGCTCGACCTGGGGGACCTCTGCGGCCTGCGGGACCTGTGGACCCTGTGGGACCTGTGGGCAACGTGGGACCTGTGGGACCTGTGATACCTGCGAGACCTCTGGGACCCGTGGTACGGGCGGGACCTGGGGGACCTCTGTGGGACCTGTGTGACCTGCAACGCCTCTGGGACTCGTGGGGCTTGCGGAATCTGCTGGACCTGTGGGGACTCTGGGCATGCGAGACCTGCGACACCTGTGGGACCTGTGCAACATGGGGGGCCCCTATGGGACCTGAGGCGACTTGCGACACTGATGGGTCCGGTTGGACCTGCGGGACCTGTGGGGCCTGCGAGACCTGCGAGACCCGTGGGGCCTGCAAAACCTGTGGGATCCAGAAAAGCTGCCTACGCTGGGGCGGGAACGAGAGGAGCACAGTACCGATCCGAACATGAGGCTCACGCTGCAGCGAAAGCACCAGTTTAGAACAACTGGAACAACTCGTATTGCACAAAAAGATGGGACAACAAGTTTTTGATCCGCGGGTCGAGAGCGAGCCTCTTCCAGTCAAAGCTGAGCGGGCCGCGCACAGCTTTAATTAAGAGAGGAAGGAAAAAAGAAGGCGGGGCCTCACGTCAAGGCCAAGAGAGGGCAAAACCCCGGGATCAGGCGGTGCCGAAAGCGAAGTGCATGCAAAGGAACGGATGGGACAAACAGTTCGCGCACATCCTATTGAAAAGCAGGGCGCGGAGTGGGGGCAGACACTCTCAAAACATATTCGGGGAGAGAGGGGAGTATTATTCAAATGTTGTAACTTTTGGAGGGGAGGAGGAGGGAGGGTGAGGATGAGGAGGCGGAAAACGAAAGCAAAGGGATAATTAGAGGTGAGGAGGGGAGGTGGGGGGAGAGGGGGGGGGCAGAAAGCGGTGCGGAACATGACAAGGGGAGGGGGAAGTGGAGGGGAGGAAGGGGGAGGGGGCGGCCGCTGAAGCCCTGCATCTCGTCGCCTTTCCCCCCATCCCCGTGGCGAGCCCCAAAAGCTGATAGGCCATCGCCGGGGTCTCCGAGTCCTCCTCCCGAAGCGCGGGCGAAACGGGGGGTGCAACGAGAGCCGGGGGCGTGCAAGAGGTGGCTTCGTCGTCAACGTCAACGTCGACGTCGACGCCGCCGTCGTCGTTGTCGTCGTCATCGTCGTCGGTGCTGCCGCAGTCAACGTCGTCGTCGTCGTCGCCGCCGTCGCCGTCGTCGTCGCCGTCGCCGTCGTCGTCGTCACGGTCGTCGTCACCGTGGTCGTCGTCGCCGTCGTCGTCATCGTCGTCGTCGTCGAAGTCGTCGTCGTCGTCGTCGTCGTCGTCGTCGTCGTCGTCGTTGTCACCGTCGGTAGCGTCCAAGAGGAGGGTTCAAATGTCATGGCCCGAGCCACGTGCGCGGCCCGCGGGTGGGGAGCTGGCAAGGAACGCATTGGAACAAGAAAGAGAGGGCCATGAAATCCGGGGAGACATCGTGGCACTGGCCATGAGATCGCACCCGATTGGGGAAACCAGGGGGTATTCATACCGCTGCGCCCCAGAACTCGCCCAGGGTGGTGACGAGGGCCTCCCAGGAGGCCCCACAGGGGTAAGACGAGGGAAGGCAGCGGTGTGGGTACCTTCTCCTCCTCCTCCGACCAGACATCACCCCCCTCAGCTGGCCGCACCCGAGCAAGAGGGGGTAGCGCCAGCTTCCTGGGCGCTGCCCTGGCGCCAGGGGGGGTCTCTCGCGTCGAGGAGCTCCAAGAAGGGCCTGGCGGCGGAGCTGAGCACGGCTGCGCACCGCAGATGTCGTGCCCCGCAACGATGTGGGCGGCGCGCAGAAGGGAGCTTTAAACGGCAGAGCATCCACCCCCATACGAGTCACCCCGACAAGCGAAGCCGTTTAGTTAACGCACCCAAAACAGGAATCGACCAGGGCAGGGCTGTTTAGTAAACGCCCCGGGCCGTTCAGTAAACGCCCCTTATAGGGTCCAGGAGGGTTTTCCTCCCTTGGGGTATGAGGAGGGGGGAAAGACTTTTTACAAGGACGCTGCTTCTTAGACGGCGCCAGCCTTGCATCTATAGGTGGGTCTGGCGCCTTCTGAGGAGCAGCCTCCTGAGAAGCCTTCCCCCCTCCCAATACCCCCCTTCTGCGCATGGCCGACCGTTCCCGCCCCCCTCGCCCAGGCATCCGACAAAATGGCGTTTTCAGTGCGCGGCCCCAGGCGGTCCCGACCCCTTCCCCGGGGGGAACTGCCCGTGCAAGATCCGTGTCTGCTGGTCCTGGTGGTCCCAGTGCCCAGTGATAGGCCCCAGCTGCTGAAATTGAAGAACAACTTGTTTTTGATCTGCGGGGCGAGAACGAGCCCCTTCCGCTAAAAAGCTCCGCGGGACGCGCACAGCTGTAATTGGCAGAGAAGGGGCGGGAGAAGGCGGGGCCTCGCGCGGCCAGGGGCGGGCGAAGCCCAGGGATCAGGCGGTGCCGAAAAACCGAAGCAAAACACGCGGCTGTAAACATCAGATCGTCACGGGCCCCCCCTCTTCCGTCCGACCCGGGTCCTCGCTGAACGTGCACGCCAACGACGTGCTCTCCTTGCCTCCGGCGGGCAGCGCCACGCTGTACGTCGGCTCCTCGTGGGGAGCACAAATCCCTATCCGCGGCCACGCGGTCCAGACCCTCCGGCTGCGACCCCCGTGGGTGCAGGGCGGCTCTGCGCGGATGCCTCGCGCGGAACGTGCCCACGGAACCGCGACAGGGTGCCCAGACACCGAGGCAAGGGCTCCCAACTTCGCGCTTCGCGCTGCGCGAAGCGCGAAGTGCGAATAACTTCGCGCTCTCGCGCCGCCTCCCAGGGGAGAAGAGGAGGAAGAGGAGGAATCGGAGCCGAACCGCGAAGCGCGAAGCGCGAATAACTTCGCGCCCTCGAGGGCGCCCTTGCCGAGGGCATCGATATGGATATGCTGAATCACATGAGTTCAAAACCGGTCACTGGACTCCTCCTGGGGTCCATCTGGCACAGTCTCTTCGTGCCGACTGGATTTTGACGGCCCCAGAGCGAAAACGGCCTTCCGATGCCAAGCACAGCGAAAAATCTCGGCCCTACGCTCCCAGACGTCCGCGGCCCCAGAGGTCCCGACGCTTTTATTTTACTTTCACTTTACTCGTGGCACTGCCCATGTTTGAGCTCGCGCACGGCACGACTGCACTACTCAAGGCAAAGATCTCCGCTCAAACTGACCAGGCCGATCACACCCTTCATCCGTGTGCCGGTTCATGCAGCACGTCCGCGAGGTTCCCATCTCGGATGCATTGCTGATGGTCCCAGGGTCCAGAGACGGGCCCCAGAAGTCGAAATCGAAGGAGAGCGCTCGGGTTGAAAGAACACGTCGTCGGATATGGATATGGATCTGGGCCCCGGATCCTCAATCCTCGATGAACGCGACAATTGACGACGACAGCGACGATCGTCGCTGTCGTCGGGATTGGGAAAAATAGGGGCCTCCCAAATGGGGTACGAGTAGATGGGGTCGGAGGATCGCGCCGCATCGGCGATGCATCGCCGACGTCGACGGCGCATTGGCGACGCCGGCGCGGAGAAAATCGGGCTCCACATCGAGCCGCATCGTCGATGCGTCGGCGATGCGGCGCGATCCTCCTTCCCCATCTGCTCCGACCCCATCTGGGCGGCCTAGGGCATCGTCGGAGAGCTTTGGTAGTTCCTCGCCGCAGTCTGAGGAAACCAAAAGGGTACCCATACCGCTGCTCCCTGGACCTCGCCCAGGGTACGTTCTGACCAGAAGCTCGAGGCGAATCCAGCGGTGGCGACGAGGGCCTCCCAGGAGGCCCAGGAAGGGGAGACCGAGGGTTATGTTGCTCCCATCGTACTTAAGGACCACATCCCAGAAATAATTTCGAGCACCCCGAAAAGTGTCGAAAGAGTGTCGAAATAGCGTCGAAACAGTGTCGAAACAGTCTCCCAGGGCCCGACACGTGAAAACCCTGGAGTTTGTGGGGGCACTTTTCTGGCGCTCGACATTCTTTCTGGCGATCACGGCTGAAGTAAGTTGGAACATCATAAACCGAGGAAAGAGCAGCGGTGTCGGCACCTTCTCCTCCTCGCTGCGCTCGTCGCCCGCTGTCCTGCGGATTCCTGCCGCCCGGGCGAGCCGCCCTCCCCGGCGTGGCCGGCCTCTGCAGCGAGTGCAGCGACGCCCCGGGCGGGGGCTCGCAGCCGGCCTCGACCCGCATGGCCGCCGCGCGGGCCTTCGACCGGAACTCGGCCTCGCACCTCGTCGACGGACGACGACGACGACGACGACGACGACAAACGACAAACGACGACAAACGACAAAGACGACGACGACGACGGCGACGACGACGACGACGACGACGACGACGACGACGGCGACGACGGCGACGGCGACGACGACGACGACGACGGCGACGGCGACGGCGGCGGCGACGGCGACGGCGACGGCGACGACGGCGAGGACGACGACGACGGCGCTGTCGGCGGTGGAGGAATGATCATTTGCCAGTTATTATTGGGTGTCGGCAACCCTCGATTAGATACCAAACAAATCAATTACCCGTCGGTCGAAAGAAGTGGGTAGAAACATGAAGTAGGAAGGCGTTAGAAGTATATTGGGTTTCCGCCCGCCTCTTGACGAGGAAGGAACAGGGAAAACCGCTTCAGTTTTGAAGTAGGAAGGCGCCGAAAAGTATATTGGGCTCTGGATTATGAGAAATACCTACTTTCACCGACCAGTGCGCATTTGCCCATCAATGAAGGGTAGACAGACCGATCGCGGATACCCATGAGATCTGGGCGTAGCAGTTTTGTCCCACAGGGCGCTCTCGCCCTCCTTCGTTCCCCGAGCCATCGCACACCCGTCCGGATCGAAGGATGCAGCAGGAGAAGTGGGGTCCACGGCTCCTGTCGTTATCGTTTGCGACGTTGCAACTTCTGATTCGCAGCTTTGGCTACCAGGGACGGTCAAGAGCTCTTGCTAAGCGTGTCGCGGCGGCGGCCCTGGCGACACGCTGTGCCTTGCGAGCGGACATGGTGTCGCTCCGCCCACCGCGGGGCGGGAGGCTAGGAAACGCCCGGGGCGTTGACGCTGGGGAATTGGGACGTGGTTAGCGCGTCGCGCCGACGCGTGGTGGGCCAGAGCTGGCGGCGCGACACGCTAAGCAAACGCTTCGGGCCCCTCCTCCTCCTCCTCCTCCTCCTCCTCCTCCTCCTCCTCCTCCTCCTCCTCCTCCTCCCTCCTCATCCCTCCTCCTCCTCCCTCCTCCCTCCTCCCTCCTCCCTCCTCCCTCCTCCTTCTCTCTCCTCGTGCATGAGCGTAAGCTGTCGGAGGTCGACGCGAATTTCTTGGTCTGGCGCTGGATCGTCTGGACCCTCCGCTGCGGCGCCCTCGGCGCCGCCCGCAGCGTGGGGGGGGGGGGAGGAGCGCCGACCCGAGAGACCCGCGCGGGCCTCCGAGTGCCAGCGCATGCTGGATGTGTTCTTCGGCCTCTGGCAAGAGGGAGGCAGCCTAGAATTTCGACCAGCTGAAACGATTCATTCCCGTCGTACATCCTCACTGCGGGTAATATATATATATATATATATACATACATATGTATGTGTATATATATATATATATATGTATATATGTGGTCCCCCAATCAGCACCCCCAAACCACCCAAACCAAAGAACCTTCACTGATCGTTCGCTCGGCGTCGTCGTCGTCCTCCTCCCTTCTCCTCGAGTGCCTTCGGAATCAACGAAGCCGCGAAAAAAACAGAGAACGCTTTCACCAGCAAGCCTTTCGAAGAACTATGATTTCGGGAGAACTGTGTCCGTCCCTGTCCCCAGAAGTTATCCCGAAATCATGTGTGCTCTGTTTTGTTATTTTGCTTTTTGTTTTTGTTTCCCCCGCGTTTTCGATGTCGTTCGCGATGTCGATCGGCCTTCCTTCCTCCCATATGCGTATTCCTCCCTCCTCCTTCCTCCCTCCCTGAAGAGGAGGGCGGGGGTCATTTGATGAGTCGTTACTCCTCCTCCTCCTCCTCCTCCACGCCATCCTTCCTTCCTTCCGCGCTCCCTTCTCTCCTCCTCCCTTCCTCCGTGAGGAGGAGGGAGGACGGTCTTTGAAGAGTCATTCCTCCTCCTTGTCCTCCTCCTCCTTTACGTCTCCTCTTTCCCATCCTCGTCCTCCTCTTCCTTGGTATCGTCATCGTCATCGTCATCATCGTCCTCCTCATCATCAACATCAGCATCATTTTCACCATCAGCACCCTCATCACCATCGTCATCCTCACCAACACCACGATCATCATCATCATCATCATCATCATCATCATCATCATCATCATCATCATCATCATCATCATCATCAACATCATAATCTGCATCATCATCATCATCATCATCATCATCATCAGCATCATCATCATCAGTGTCGCACTCCCATTGTCTAGCTCCTCTTTATCCTCTTCATCCATCTGTTCCTCGTTCTCCTCATCACCATCCCCTCCTGGGGGTAGAGACCGCGACCTCATCGAGTGCAGCCCAGTCTGTCGCAGTCATTGGTTTGATCTATGTTCTGAAAGCGTTCTGCCACATCGCGCAAGCCCTTCGGGTGGGTGGAACGACGCCAGACCCACCAAACCGGGACAACCAAACCAGACCCACCAAACCAGGATGTGGTACCCTGCCCCATCCTGCGAATAGCGTTTGCCCATCTCCTATGCCTTCCCCCGCCGCCCTCCCCCCGCGACGCAGGCCGCCACGAGCGGTATTCGCGCCGCGATCGCCGCAGATCCCAATCGCAGCAATCGACCAGTTCCACCATTGCCCTGACACTGGAAGCCTGGCACCCTCGGCTCGACCCTAGCGTTCCAACCCTAAACACGAACAGTGCCCCCCACTCCCCCTCCTTCCCCCCGCGCAGCTCTAGCACCTTAGCATCATAGCACCACGAAGTCAATACCCCAATCCTGACCCCCCTAAACCCGACACCACAACCCTAACACCCTGACGCGAATCTTAATACTCTAACCCTAAGCAGTAACCCAAACCATTAACTGTGACACGATCACCTTCTCCCAAACAGTCGGTCTCTCAGCGAGCTAGCCCTAAAACGCGGACCTTAACCTCTTTTTACACGGTGGCACCTACGCCCCAGGCAAGAACACTGACCGTATCATCCTAACCCTAGCACCTGACCCTGCGCATTCGCCCTGGCATCAACACCCTAAAGGGTGTTAGAATCCCACCAGCCCTCTGGGCGTAGGTGATTTAGGGAGTTTCCTCTTCCAACCTCCTTCTTCCCCCTTCGGGGAGGGGTTTATCCCTCCCCCTACCCCCTCCCCTGGACCTGGACGGGGGGCTTCGCGACGTGTTGGAGCGTCCAAGAGGGCCCAAGACGGCTCCAAGAGCGCCCCGGAGAGTCCAAGATGAGCTCCAAGCTGGCTCAAGGTAGCCTACGATGCCTCAAGATGCCTCCGAAGATGCTCCAAGAGGCCCCAAGACCGCTCCAGGACGGCTCCAAGAGGCCAAAGAGCTTCCCAAGGAGGCCCCCAAGAGGCCAAAATCCTTCAAAAACCTCAGGAAAACTAATGATGTTTGCCTTCTCGCCTTTTCGCTTCCGATGGCCATCCGAGGCCTCAAGATGGCTCCAAAAGGGCCCCAGAGGGCCCCAAGAGGGGCCCCAGAGAGCCCCAGGACGGCCCCAAGAGCGCCCAAGAGCGCTCCAAGAGCGCCCCAAAAGGAGTCCAGGACGCGATTTTAGGAGCTCCCGAGGGGGGACCGTAATTAGGGAACCCCCCTTACTTATTTGATCGATGTCCTCCAAGATGGCCCCAAGAGGCGCCCAGGAGGCCCCAAGAGGCCCCAAGATGGCCACATGATGGCCCCATGATGGCCCCAAGAGGCCTCCAAGAGGCCCCCAAGAGGACCCCAAGCGGCCCCAAGAGGCCTCCCCAAGGCACCCAGGACGCCCAAGAGTCCCTCAGGACGGCCAAGAGACCCCCAAGACGTCCCAAGAGGCCTCCAAAAAACCGCCCAGTGGGCGTCGTTTCTGGATGGCCTGATATGGATACTTTTGTCGCAGCCGCAAGCGAAGGCGCAGGCGGCGTCAAACGGGACGGGCGGGCTACGCGCGAACCTAATTGCCTAACGCGCCGGCAAACCGGTGGCCTAAGCAGCACCTAAGCGGACCGGAGGGAAAGGTGGTGCTGGCTGCAGCTGCCAGGAAACAGGTCCAGGAGCGAGCGCATGCATGATAAGCCAACCAGGGCGTCTGGAAATACGATGAAGATTAGGGCGGCGGGTTTGGGACATGAGGGTTATGATGGGGGTGCTGGGCTCAGATTGTTACAGCCAGGGCTGCACGGTTGGAGAAAAGTTCAGGGCCAAGGCCCTAAGGTGAAGGTCAGGGTGCTAGAGGTAGCGGGTTTTGATCATGGTGATGACATCAAGATTACGGTCAGGTTGTTAGGGTTTGAACCAGTGTTCAGGGATAGGGGTGTCAGGCTTAGGTCCCGGGTGCTAGGGCCATCGTGAGAGAGGTGAGGTTCGGGTGCTGAGGTTCGGGTTCCAGTAGGGTGTCACACACTGTAGCGAGCAAGTTGATGTTTCGCATTCGGATGGTGGGGCTCGCGTGCCAGAGGCAGGTTCAGGGTGGAAAGTTGGGGGTTAGCGTTACTGTTCGGATGTTCGGTATACGTTCGCAGTGTCAGGGTTGAACGAAAGGGTTCGCATGACCAATGAAGAGTAGCAGGCCTTGGTAGGGTTAGTAGGGATTGGATACTTGCTAAGGTGGCCGTGTTTAAGTCAGGGTGCTCTGTGCAGGGTGTGGAAGTCAGGAAGTTGAAATCGGCGTAATACGGTTTGGGTCAAGGTGTTCGGGTCAAGGTGTTACTGTGTTGACTGAAGATATAAAGGATTGCTTAGGTTGCCAGGTCTCTGGTGCCAGGGTTACGGGGAAGGATAGGGTGCTCGGGGGATGGTTATAGTGGTAGCGCTGCTTCGCTCAAGCTTGTAGTCTTAGCGTTATGGTGAAAGGGTGATGTCGTTAGGGCTTGGACTAGTGCTCAGTGTATGGGTTGGGGTGTTAGGGTCACGATGTTAGGGGTAGGGTGGTTGGGTAAGGGTTCTATGATGATGATGATGATGCTAGTCTCATGGTTAGGATGTCTGGACTAGCGTGGCACGATCAGGGTCAGCGCGCAAGGTCAGGATGGTAAGAGAATTAGGTCGCCGAAGATTGGGCATCAGGGTGGACATGCTGTAGCCC